ATTTTTCAAAATTGAAGCGCCAGGTGGCCATTACTTTGCAACTGAACAGTGACTCCAATTCTAGACACAATCTAAAACTATTTACACATATTAAAATATGAAGAAATACCTGCATTACTTACTGTCACTACCACTACATAAGGCAACACGGGGACTGTCCTTAGCTCTTTCTAGCATTGTTGCCATCACTGCAGACTTACCAAGACCTGAATTTTTATCTGAACTATAGGATCATGTAGTCTTGTAAACCACATACAAGCAGCCCTGTATTTCTTATGGGATTCTGTGCAACTGATGTATAAGGAAGAGAAATGCACAAGGGTTATTTATGTTTATCCCTGAATGCTGGACTGCTGACTTCATCCACTACCAAAATGTATACCAATTACACCAAACTGGCACTCATATTATCTACTTTCCCTTTCCAAAAAGAAAATAATAAACACTCAGAAGTGCAGAAAAAATTGGTTTATTCTTTTTCTGGCAGTTCCACAAACAAGTTCCAAATTAAATGAAAGACACATTATTGTCAAATTATTATTCACTTCAAATTATTTTGAAGTGAAGCGTAGGGTTGGGGAATTGATTGATTCTTTCTCAAAAATGACAAACACAAATATTGTAATGCTTTCATTTTATTCTTTCAGATTTTTAACCTGGTTTCCTCTAATAACTTGTGGGTCCACTGATTAGCCTCTACTTAGTAAGCTTACAAAACTAAAATCAGAATACCACTTACTGCAGGCTTCACTTACACCTAACATTGTACAGGAGCTTTCCACTATGCAGTATGTGAGCAACATGCATTCAAGAAACACCTTACAGAGAATGTGTTTAATTGAAAAGAAAATGGTAAAGTTTCAACGAATCACAGAATGTTTGGGATTGGAAAGGACATTAAAGACCATCTAGTACCAACTCCCCTACCACGGGCAGGGACACCTTCACCTAGATCAGACTGCTCCCATCCAACCTGACCTACAGCACTTCATGAATAGGCATCCACAGCTTCTCTTAGCTACCTGTTCCAGTGTAGCTTCTCTTAGCAAGCTGTTCTACACACCCTCTCCACAATGAATTCCTCCTAATATCTAATCTCAATCTATTTTCCTTCAGATAAAAGCCATCACCCCTATAGGACATGCCCTTGAAAATTGTCCTTCAGCTTTCTTGTAGGGCCCCCTAGGCACTGGGACAAGTTCATGTTGCGGTTTCCTAGTTTGGATGAGTTTGCACTTCTGGCTGATCAGAACCTTTGGTGACAGCAACTGTACAAGATTCTGGGTTATCTCTCAAATGAAACTGGAATTTCTTACAATGATATAAGAAATGCACTGCACTGAAACTGCTGCAAGACATAGGAAGTCTGTTTTATAACCAAGCAACTATTATAACCAGACCAGAACAAAATTTGTTCTGCATTGTAACACACAAAAGATATTCATAGGTCACTCCAAAAACTGTTTTTGTCAACGAGGAAATCCCTCCTCACCTCACCATCAATATTCTTAATTTCAAACACTTGTATGCTCACTTTTTCTATTAAAGCCAAGTGTTTCAAAACTTTTTTCACTCCAGACTTACCAAGCAACAAAAAATTATTAGAGATACATTTACTGATAGCAAAATCACATTTACTACCAAATACCACCAGTTTTAATAACTGTTAAATATTTCATCCTAACTACAAATCTTGTAACAGATTATTTTCTTAAACCATAAAACTGTGGGAAAATTCAGGGAATTTAAAAAATCTCAATAGCATTAAAAAATACACAAAATTATTTTTTTATAGTAGGTATAAAAATCTTCTTTTACTTGATCTTTTTACAATGGGAAGCTTTTGAAAATGTTTAATTCTTCAATTTAAACTTAACAGCAAAAGCACCTGGACATCCTCTTGTCCGTTATAAGATATTCTTGCATGTCTCTTAATAGACCTTGTAAAAATAATTTCGTGCTAATTGTTAATATTAGTTAAACAATTACAGCCTGGAAGTCAGCATCTGCAGTGCAAAACAAAAAGGAGTACACAACATCATATAGCAAAAGATGATAAAAGCATTCTGAAAGAACATATTGCTGAAGTTTTTACCAGACTCTATCATCCTTCTCTTTTTGTCATCTTAAAATCTCATCTACTGATCCCTCCACTGAAGGTAATACTACAAAGCTTCATTTTCCAATTTCTCCCTTTCTGTCTTTCACTGTGCTGAAGTCATGCTCTTCTTTCTGTTTTTCTGCTTCCTTTCTTTTCTGAACTAGCTAGTCTCATTCACAAGCCCACTTTCATGGCTTTCTCCTATTCTGTCACTATTTAGTACCAAGAAGTCAGCTCTGCCTCAAATTTGCCTCTTCCCTTTCTCACCTGTGAAATTTTCAGACCTTTACTCTTTTCTCACATCCTATGCAACTACAGGGAGGGCTGCCTCTAGCCCTCTGCAAGACTGGCCTTTGGAACTCCTCTACATCATGATCAGAAAAAAAAAAGAGCAAGGTATGCAAATGCTGAGCTGCCAACTGCTCTGACCTTCTGCCTTATATTGAAGAGCAATTTCTTCAAGCAGAGGTTGACCTCTGGTTCTGGGTTTGTTGTTGTTCATGCACTGCTATATGATTCATAGGCCCTAAAATTCTATTAGTGTAAGCTAAAAAATGACAGCATTTCTATATACTACAACAGCACTCATTTTAAGGAGCAAACCAATCTTTTAACAATAGTGACTAATTAGACAAATTAGGCACTGCATTAGACAAAGTTGCCAGGAGGTGCAGGAAGGTGAGTGATCCTTCCCTTTTGCCCCACACTGCTGACACCACACCTGGAGTGCTGGGTCCACTTCTGGGCTCCTCAGCATGAGAGACATGGACACACCAGAGAGAGTTCACAAAGGGCCACAAAGATGACCAAGGGACTGGAACATCTCTCCCAGGAGGGGAGACTGAGAGCTGGAACTGCTCACCCTCGAGAACACAAAGCTCTAGGGGACCTCATCAGCATGTGTAAATATCTGAAGGGCAGGTGCAAAGAGGATGAAGTCAGGCTCTTTTCAGTGGTGCCCAGTGACAGGAGCAGAGGCAATGGGCATATAATGAGAAGAAGATTTCCTGTGAACACCAGGAAACACTCTTTGTACCATGAGGGTGAGGGAGCACTGGCACAAGCTACACAGGGAGGTTGTGGACATGGCCCCAGGCAGCCAAACCTCAGTGGCCCTGCTTACGTAGGGGGATTGGACAAGATGACCTCTGCAGGTACCTGCCAATCTCAACCACTCCATGATTCTGTTTTCTCAGCCCTGTTAACCAAAGATACTCCTGTTACTTTCAGATTTGAGGCACTTATCTTCTGTACTTAGTGACCAGCAGATTCTTGCTGTCTTTTTTACTCCAACATGTTCCCTTACAGCACCGCAAAAGCTCATGGCAGAATTCCCAACCACTACAATGGTAACACAAGTAACACATTGCTGCCTCAATCCTGGATTTGAGGTTCTCTGACACTGAACACTAAACTGGGGGAAGTATGAAGGGAAGGAGTTGGGGGTGGGGAGGGTGGCAAAAGTGCACTGTTAGGTTCTGACTTCTGTACCCATGCAAGAACCACGAGGAGTTGCTAAATTCTGCCTCAGTTGAGGTGAACCAAACTTGTGTTACATCCTTCCATGCAGGAGAGGGAGAGGGAGATGTACACCACATCCTTAGCTGGCACAGACTGTGCCCAGCAATGTGATCTGAACCTCAGACTAAGTAATCAGATGTCATGCTTAATTTTGGGTTAATGCAAAAGACATCAACATTGCCCAATAAGGAAGATTAAAATAAGATTTTCCTTCTAGTTCAGAAGGAAATAGTATGGATGAAAGCAAGCTAGTAAAGATATCAGATTTTTATGTCAGTAATAAATCAGTATCTTCAAAAATCAACGATTCAATAAGTCAAGTCACAAACATCAACTCTGCATGTCGAATCACACAGAGGAAAATTTCCTAACGTAACAAAAATAATCTCAGCCTTCCCTGCCTGTTTGTTACTGAGTAAGCAAACGCGATTTAGAGTAAACCACCTTCATAAAAACAAGCTAAGATATTCTCAGAAAACACTCTTTGAACAGAAAAAAAATGCAGCCATCCACACTGATTATTGGAGATAGAAAAGACTGCCCAGCATCTGCTTGAAAAGTATTCCTATACATAGATCATCACATAGCACTCTGTTACAAGGATTCTACAATTTGCTATAGGACAAACTGCATTTACTGCACTGCTCTTTTCTGTTCGCTCAAAGCTGTAACATTCCAGTCTCTCCACCTTCTCTCTGTGCTCTTCCTGAATGACCATACACTGTATGTATGGCAATACACTTCTTTGAAGCACATTATGCTCCACTGCACAAGACTAACCTGAAATGAATCATGTAGGAAAGAATAATAATGTCTGGAACACAGACTTTATCTTAACACTGCCAAACAATTCTAAATGCAACCTACTTACTACACAACCTGCTTCTCTCCTCAAACATATGCTGACAATGTCACCTGAAGAATGAAGTGCTGTCACCATTTTCACGTTACTTGTTACTGCCATCACTGCTTACTGAGTGTCGTCATTAATTATTCTGTGCATTAGGCTTAAACAAAAAACCAAACCACCAAGCAAAGTGCCCTGAACTAAAAACTAAACCACTTGTCTAGAAGTCCACCTGTGAAAGTAGAACCTTAAACAATTTTGAGGGTTTTAATATTAGTCTGAATAGCTGAAGTTGACATGGTTTCTTTTCCCACTTCCTAGAAAAGCTTTTTACTAAGACATTTCATGGAATAGTGCTGAAAGCTGGCTTATACAGCATAACTCATAATTAAAGAGTGGCATACTCAAAATTCATAGGCTTAAAACTACACAGAAAGCTGATAAAGTATTTGAACACAACTACAGGAAGTAGGGGAAAACCAGCAACTTATCTGTAAAGTATAGGTGATTATAGGAAAAATGGGTACATACCGAATTTTCTTCCTCCTCTTCTAGCTCTCTCTGCTGTTCCTCGTGTCGCTTTGCCTTTATCTCCATTGCTTCGGTGATCAGGTCCCTTAAAATTGAAACTGGCTTAGCATTCTTAATAAATGTATGCTAGGGGAAAAAAAAATCGTTGAAATATGTAATATTGTTAAAGCAGTTGTGTTTCAGATTTAATTACAAGTCCTATTCAAGACCACAGATTTCAGTGATAAACAGTATCGTGCACTACACAGTAACCAAAATCTAAACCTACACAATATACACAGCATAGTATCTTTCAGCCCCTTAGTAACTAAATTTTTCTTTAACTATTTTTAATAACTTCAAGCCTTGGGAAATGTAATCACTTAATACCTGTTTCATGAGTGAGGATACAATTTTCCAAAGAAATCATGCAGAAAATTGTAAATAGAGTGGTGATGATCTGACATGGAAAACCAAACTTTTTCAGATATTCAGTTTCATAATTTAATTAATCTTAACAAATTGAGAGCATAAATTAATGGCTCTAACCAGAGCATCTGTGGCTGCTTACTTCAACAAACCTATACTTTAAATGTCATACAATATTTCTTGACCTATGATGCTGAAAAGTGGAACTAATAAAAAATCCCCTTACTTTTAGCAGGAAGTTTGATTTTTAATTCAAGGTCAATTAAAACATAACTTCTTAATTTAAGACAATATTTATTATATCGGACATTTTGCTGCCTAATAAACACCTGCTGTTAGAAAAAATTTGATTTTTGTATCATTATATGCAAATACAATTTAGGCAAAATACAACTAAGCACTTCATAAAAATATAAATACTTAAAAACTGTTCCATGAAGAACAGAACTGATGAAGCCTCATGCACTACACCTATTCTCTATCTTCTCCATTGATATATTAATTCAATTACTCTCTTTTTCTTTCCATGACTTCTGCTCACAAGCAGTACTTTCATTTCTACTCAAACATTTTCACAGCATCTCGAGCTCCATCACATATGCTCCAAATTCCAGCTGAGGAAAAAGACAACGCAGACTCCTGATGAACACACACAGTATCTGGTTTTCTGGTCAGTTAGGATGGGAAAGAAACTGTACACTGAAGCTTTTATTTTTGTTTCTCCTTACTTGCCCACATTAATGCAAGTCTCTTCTATCCAGCAGTCTGTATTCAGCTAACCATACAAACTTCACATCCTGAAGATGTCAAGTACTGGTTCATACATCACACAGACACTTTTAACTTTCAATTTTTACTTACCTTGTGGTCAACATTTTTGTATTTTGCAATGTATAAAATTAAATATTCATAGCACGATCTACCAATTTCATAGCATGATCTACCAATTTGACAGATTATTACCAAAAAGTACTTTGCAAAATTTTTGTTCTCTTTGTAGTGGAGTTCACTGGAACTTAAAATTTAACAGCTGCTATTGCTAGCTCAACACAGAATAAATCTAGCAGGAGAGTAATACAGGAAGTGAGAGCCTGGCATGCCCTGCCTTGCTCCAAAGGTCTACGCTGCCAACTGTGGCTCACACAGGCAAGCGCCCACTTGGCTGAACTCAGCCCAGGAACAAACTCATGGCACTGCATCAGACCTTGCTAGGACACAGACACCTGCCTGCTCAATCTGACATGACCAGAAGGAAAGACTGAATATACCCCATGGCTGGTCCACACAAAAGGGTAACTTGGGCTCAGTTCTGTTACTAAACACTTGTCTAAATCCTGAGATCTACTGAGGGCCTCAAATCACAAAGCAAGGATCCAATACGAATTGCAAGAACTAGCCCTAAACTATTTAATGATTAATTTTAGAAGCTGTAAGAAGAGAAATAAAATGGGGGCAGAGATACAGGAGCTGACAAAGAAAAGACTACAAAGTGAAAAAGAAATAAGGCATAATAATAATTAAAATAAGATTTTCCCTTACAAATTTTCGCAACATTATGGGTTTGAGGGGTAAAAAACAAAACCCAAACATAAAATGTGCTTTTCCTCAGTAACTTAAATACTGACCTGTAGCAGCTGGGTTGCTGTAGCTCTTTGTTCAGGATTTTTCACTAAGCACTTCTTCACAAAATCTGTGAATTCATCAGACCAGAGCTCTGGCTTCCGGAAGGTTGGAGGGGGATTTGTAGGAATCATAAAAATAGCCTAGATAAAAATCAAACAATAGCAAGTCTAAACAAAACACATCACCACAGCAGCTGAAGCCAAGCTAAAAAAAAAAAGAAATTGCTTTATCCATCTTTCTTATCAGGCTAAGAATCTGTAAGACAAATTTTAAGTATGCAAGGATTTCTACTCAGATCAAGATTCAGAAAGTAAATCCATCTGCTACTAATATAACTACTTCCCATTAAATTTTCTCTATTTAAACTGTGTCCCATTGAGCACAAGACTCCTTATTTAATCTACTGCTGTACATCAATTTGAAGAGATGATTGTATTATTTCAGAAATTCTTAGCAGAAATTACAGCACTGCTTGTTTACACACACATATAAAATTGCTGTGAACAGTCAAGTTCACCTTCTCCTCCCTTAAGTGAACTTAGTTTTATTTGAGAATTGCTTCGGAAATTTGGGAGGATTGCTATTTCCTTTTGCACTCATCAGTCATCAGACAGAGCTTTAAAACTTGCTTGGCCAAGTAAGATTTAGATAAACATGCTAAAAGTCCTAAGGTAACACTAAAAGATGACAAATAAAATAATCACGTAACAAGTCTTACAATACTGAAAACTTACACGAAATTGAAAATGCACCATTTTACCTATATAGCAAAAATTTCTTCTGTTGAGAACCATATGCAGACAGATTTTTCAACTGGGAAAAAAATATTCATCCTATATTTTAAAAAAGTTTGTCCTACTCTAAGATTATATATATTGTGCCATTTTTATATTATTATTTCCAGGTTTTCCTCTAAAAATACACACTTGCAGCAGGGGAGAACAGCCATACAACTCTGACAGACTACTGAAAAATAATGAAAATTTTTGAACCTTTGTCTGTAATAAATGCATCCAATATCATCACTTAAGACTTACACATGATAGCAACAGATAATTCAGAACAAGGTCTACTGACAAGAACAGGCTATTATTGTCTTCTAAATCCAGGTTCAATTCAACCACATTTTCCAAACTCACAGGGAGTGAAAGTTCTTCATTTGTTTTTCTATGAGCATAGGCAGAAATACAAACCCAGAAAAGGGGAAAAAACTGATTCTACATACTTTTAACATACTAGAAGCACTAGAAGCTTCAGCCTGTGTCTGAAACATAGGCAGAAGGCAGAAAGAACTTAAGGAGATTTTATCCATAACTTAAAAGAAGTCTGACTGGCCTTGAAAGTTGGCTGAACTCAATCAAACCCTCATTAGAAAATTCTTCTCACATTCTGAAGGAAAGTGGAATCCATGCAAAATGATGTAAAAACTGTTTACTACCATTTTAATGAAAAATTAGTTCAGTACTGAATAGTTGCTAAACATTTACAAAATTTGCCATTTTGTTTAATAAAATTGTATGCTACAACAGCAGCTTTATATTTTCAGTGGGCAGCCATGCCAAACAAGTATATAGACTGAGACAGGAACCGTGGCACTCAGTAACTGGCCTTATCTAATTCACTTGTGCAAGATTAATTGTCAGTACACGTGAAGTACTTCTGGCAAAAAGCAGTGGCTAACAAATTCAGCAGTTTCTGTCCTTGAAATTAATGATCTCTTCTGAACTTTGAACTGATGACTTTTGATCTTATCTTCAGCTGTTCTTAACAGCGAACTCAGCAGTAGCTATTGAAAACACACAGCTGTAAAAGAAGGCTACCAACTTCTGTTTATGTGGTGTCAAAACGGGTACCTCCTCTTTGATCACAAACATTGACCTCTCCCCCCACAGGTAAGCAATGATAAGTTACAGAGTCCTACTCAGCTCCACAGTTCTAGAAAAAATGTTTGCCTTGGCCAATTACTTTCATCAAATACACAGCAGTTAAGAACCACAGCAAAGAATTGACTTCTTTGCCATGCATAAAGGACAATGAGAAGAAAGAGGAAATTAGTGAATCATTCTTTTATGCCAGGCAACAAAAGCCACAAAAGGAGATATTCGAGTGTTAGCAGTTCTAAATCCACAGGTATGCTTTGTACGCTCATTGCAAACACCTACTTCAGAAATATGCATATCTATGTAATGCCTAAACTGTAGGCATTTTTAAATCCTACTATGCCACATGAGCTCTATTAGCTGAAGAGTAAAATCAGATGCATTTTTGTAATACAAGAAACCATACAGAAACTACTTACTGTTTAGTCCAACTTGGTAATTATGCCAGGCACTTGCTAGCGTGTGCTAGCTCACTCCAGCTCTCATCACTCCATTCTATTAACCAACCTAAAATTCTGGGCTTCAATTCCATCTTCCCTCTATACTACCTAATTTTGGCTTGCATATTTCTCAGCAGAAAAGTTAAGCTCCTTTCCTCTTTCAGTCTACAATTTAGCTTTGACTACCTTGTTTCCTTTCAAGAGGCTTGCAAAGCAATTACTGGAGAATTATAAAGCTAGTCCCAAATCTCCAGGAATGAAAACAAAACACTTATCTGACAGGAACTTATTCCTCATTTTTGCTTCCACTTCTTGTCCAAAAGGTAATTTCTATCCTAAAATAGCTATATATTATTTTAAAACAAAACTAAGCTATTTCAATCACTCCGGGTGCCAATGGAAGCAGGAAATACTTGGGGTTTTTTCATGTTTCTTTCATCTTACCTTAGATTTCTCCAGTCCCTATGTTTTCCCGAACTATTACTTGTAGTATTTTTTTTACCTCCACTCCACTTGTAATTTTCTCAGAAGTTTCCCACAGCTCTTTGTTTCAGTGTAGCTCTCACCTTGGGGCTGAGGACAGTGCTCATACAGGCAGTGTTAGGCAAATGTTGCTACAAAGAAACACCAAATATAAGCTACAATCCAACCAACTACATGGGCTGAACTGGCAGTTCCAACTGCAGGAAATGTTAGGAGAAAATTGTTTAACAGATGGGGCAGGTTCTGACATACTTATAAAAGAGCTGGGGCTGACTCTTTTCTCTCTCCCACCCTCACCATCCCCTTCCACATTACCTTACATTTCTGAGACAGAAAGGCAAATCTTACACGATTAACACAGCAAATATACAACCAAAGAATTAGATTGTATGACTCAGTCTTCAGTCTCAACCATTCAATCACCTTTAAAAAGAGAAAGAAATCTCTAAAGATGCAAGAAGGATCAGCTTAATCTGTGTTTGTTTTCACCTGCATATAATAAAGAGTGAATTTCAAATTTGTCCTGAACTGATCCCTCCCCCTCTCAACCTTGAGCCTAGTTCTACTTTGAATTCTCTTTCACACATTGGTATGAGACAAATCCTTCACCTTGCAGTGCAACCAGAATTCAAGGCAGATTATAATATATGTATGATAAAAGATGGGGGGAAGAAAAAATCAGCCAGGGCAGCTTTTGGGGCCACTTCTAAATTGGGCACTGGACAATCCAACACAGTTTCCACCATACTTGTTCCCAGGCAGCACTTCCATGCTCAATCAGCAGCAGTTACAACTAAGTTGAATTAATACCAGACTGAGAACCGGGTATTAAATGAGAGCAGAAATGCACAAGTCAGCCCAGGATTTTCTTTTTATTATTCTTAAAGGGCCTAGTATTTTAAATTAAGTCCAGGTTGAAAACAGGGGCTTTTTTAGTATGAAGGTTCCTTTACAGACAATTTTATTGGCGTGAAAATATAATTATGGTGATGATGATGAATTAGGAAACGCCAAAAGAAAAATAAGATGCTCATATACCACACATGGAAATTCCTAATCAGAAAATCCTTGCAGCTCATTCTTCTAGTCAGTCAGAGTAATATATCTGTATTTCACACAGCCCACAAACACATTAAGTGATCAACAGCAATTTCGTAGAGGTACCATGTCTTCTGGCTTTTAGTTCCCTGAATAACTTATCTCTTATTATTTAGTTGAAATAAGTTGCTTGTAATAAAAAGCGGAAAATCTCCCCAGTATAATAAATGCTACTGAAGAGGACAACAAAGACTTCTATATTGTGGTGATTTTGTAATTTTCATGCTGTGAAGCTTCATTGCTAGAATCTACAGAGAAAAACTTTTTTATAAATAGGATAAGGATACATGACATCAGTTTGTGACTTCATTGTTTTTGGAACCACAATTATACTACTTAGTTCAGCAAATAGGAAACAAACACCAAAACACATTTAAACTCGGTAACATTTCAGAGTGCAAAAAACTATTTAAATCTGGCAAAGTTAAATATTGATTACTGCAAAATTTTAGTAACTTTGGAAACAAAGAATCACCTGAAAGACACATTTTTCTCTTGTTTGTGATGCACATCATAGAACCTCCATCCTTTATTGAACAGCTTTCAAAAAGACAATTAAAACACCACTGACTGAGTTACACAACTCATCAGCTGTCTAAGAATGAAACATCAGCATGGAGAATGGTAAAATACTAGCAGGATTCTACACTGGATTTTCTTTGCTGAGCATGTTTTCTTGGTGTGGCTTTTTGGGGGTTTTTCAGTTTGTTTTGGTTTTATTCATTCAGAACTACAATACTGCAACACAGTGAAAAATAACGTTATTGGACAACATCTCACGTGTTTAAAGTCAAGAAGGTCAGTTCATAATCGGCTTCATAGTAGATAATAGATTTACTTGTTAGAAGCATCCTAAAAATCACTGCTTCCTCCTCCCATCTGCAAACACAGATGTTGATGAAGATTATCTAGTGTACCCACACCTTTTGTGCAGAACTACAAACAGGTCTGGTTCCATCAAACATCTATCACACACCTGATCCAAGTTGATTCTTACCAGAATTATCAATGCAGGATTAAATGCAGAAAGGGACAAATGAAGTTTTAGTTCAGGCAAGTTCTGGACAAACAATAAATGACAAAATTTTTCGTCTAATGAGGGGAAATATGTGTGGCATTTAACATGCAATCTACTGTGCTTACTTTCATAGTTTTTAGTAATGGCCACTTATTAAACTATGTACACAATACTACATAAGTTAAAATTACATTTAAATGACTTTATTATAAAATCATATA